GGTGCAAGGTTCTCAGGTTTGTCCCTTTTTGCATTCTTCCCCCTCCCCGTCACCTGGACTTCTCTAGCTGGCCGGGGAGAAGGTGAATCTCGGAAACGGGGATCCCACGTCCTCGGATTCAGGCCGAGCGGTTGAGGGAATCCCCCTTTTAAATGTCGAGATAGGAAAGAGGCCAGATATCGGATGCACAGTTACTTTATGTTGGTTATCATGACACTGTCAGAAATTGGGCCTCATAAAGTGTTTTCTTTTTCATAGAATCCTAGTTCAGGCGTATATTTAACGTGAATTTTATCATTCTTTTCTGAGACGAAATGTCCTTATAGAAATGTTCACTACAGATTCATGTGTTTTACATGTCAGTTAATGTACACTAAATTGACTTTTAAAATGCTTTCCAGTTATTTTGATAGATATCATCATGGTATCTTTAATTTTTCTTCTCCTATGTGTAGGGTAAGGGACTGTTCTTCTGAAGAATCTTTCCATTTAGTGATCAAGATATGGAAGCTCATCTCTGAAAATACTTGACATGTATCCTAATTATTCCCAGTGTCATTTGAATTGTAAGTTGCATTTCAGCAGCAATGTTCCCAGTTGACTGACTTATTAGGAAAATGTAATAAAATGTGCCTATTGTTAGCATACTGCCTCCTGAGTTTTCATTGCTCGAGTTTGATATCTTACATTTAGCTTTAAGTCAGAAACGCTCTTTCTTACCTGATCTTCATAGATGTGCTTTGCAAAGTGTTTTGTGCTCAGATAGGACTGGGAACCGCCAGGTTAGGGGAAGTTGTCGGAAGACATCCAACAGGCTTTGTGAGTCTCACGCAGGGGAGGGTGGGGAGGAGGTCCCGCCAAGCAAGCGGACCTGCACTCAGAACCTGCAGCCTGGAGACAGCCTGCAAGCCGCTGAGCGCAGAACACACGCCAGAGGGTGCTGTGTTCTCGTTCCCGCTACACATGCTTGATTCCCTTTTCCTAGGGATAGAAACGATGCGTAACGGGATGACCCCTTGCTGTAATGACTTAAATCAGTCAGTTTATTGCAGGCAGGGAAGCCTGATGAGTATTGGACCCCTGTCCGCCTCTTGCCATTCTTTATTTTCTCCTAAGGAACTGTCTTCGGCTTTAAACAGAACAGTGATGAAATACTTAAGAGGAACAGGGAGGTCGTGTGAACCTTCAGCACACGCAAAACAGGGCCGGAGGGCGGAGGGCAGAGGCCCAGGCTGGCTTTGTAGAGCACGTCCAACCCAGCGGGAGCCCCTGCCAGCGGTGGCTGGCCAGGCTGGCTGGTCAGGTCGTGGTGGTTGGAGCGATGGGCTGAGTGGTAGCGGCTCTGGAGAGCCTTCTTGTCAAAGCCCCGGGTGTGTTTCCTGTTCGGCCTGGTACAGGGCTAAGGGCTTCGTGGGCATCTATCCAAAGTGCCGGGCAGGGGTCACGAGATCCTGTTTTTATTATAGGGGAAGTATTACGCAGGGTGGGTTTAGGCTCGTGGCAACTTCCAGCACGTGGGCTTTTCTTTTACGGATGAGAAACCCAGGCTCCACCTCAGTTAAGACCCGGAAAGGAGCCAAGAAGTGTCAGTGCTGGAGGCGGAACGTGGGATCCACGAGCAAAGCCGGAGAGCCAGCCAGAGTCAACTAGAATTTCCTGAGCAGGACTCTACTCCGTACATGTGTCTGTCACAAGCGCTGCCCAGTGTTTCTGCAAAAACGGGATGAAGTTGCCTTCCAGCAGGTCTGGGAAGTCGCGAGATGTCTTGAATCTGTTGGTAACACATCAACGCCCCCCCCCCCCCCACGCAATCTCCTCACCGCCTTGTACGTGTTGCCTGTTTTCCCCCTTCGTTGCTCTAGGGCCTCGGCTTAAACACCGGAAAGAATCCCAGCAACTCTGTTTTAACCAAGTGCTCCTGACATGTTATATAATTACTAGTCCCTTTGCCTCATAATTGAAGTCTTAGCAGTGCTGCTAACAGCTTTTATATAACTACATTTAGAGCAATTTGGGACTTAACTGAAAACTATCTGGTAGGTGTTTCAGTTGTTTTTTTTAATTTTTTTTTTTTTTTTAGGTCCAATGGCATCCTAAATAAAACAGTCTGGTTATGTTCCCAATAAGAAATTTGCCATTACCTACCTCTAAGACATTAAAGCCCAGAATCAGTGTTCCCGCACCCCACACTCCAAGAGACAAAATCCTTCAGCGCAGGATTCTCGTGGAGCCCCCCAGCAGACACTCCACGCACGCCTCCTGCTTCCCGCCCCCCACGCCCGGTCCCACTGCTAGTCTTTCCGGAAACCAGGGTGTATGTGCCTCACTCCATACCAGGTCCCCAGTGCCCGGCACGTGCCTCCCGAGAAGTGGGGCGCGACGCTGACGGGTCTCTCGTGAGCTGTCACTTAATCCGGTGACAGTCCAGTGCTGGGGCAGCCCACTCCAACCACTCTGCCCTCCTGTGCCCTTCCTACTCTCCCTGATGACGTGCCTGAGTTTGCCAGGCACTTCATTCACTTGGTCTCACGTGATTATATGCGAGAAAAGGTATCCTACTCGCTTTACAGATTGGGTAAGTGAGGAACAGAGAGGTTAGGGAATCTGCCTGAGGAGTTGGGGCTGTTAGCGGCGGCGGATCCTGGGAGCGAGTGCTCGAAGCTGCTTTGCGAATGTCACAGCCCTCTGTGATGGGTGAGGTCCACTCCAGTCAAACGCCTTAAAGGATGTCTACCACCTGCCAGGCAGTGACTGGGCTGCAGCAGTGGACAAAATGCATGTCCCTTCCTGAAGGGTTTACAAGTAAAGCTTAGCTCATTCCAGCTCTAAAGGTGAGGGGCTAAAAATCGAAACACGTAAAGAAAGAAGAAAATGAGAATGGATACAAAGGGCTGGTACGTAAGGTTCAGGACTTAGAATTGTAGGCAGGAGTAAAGAGAGCTGATGGAGGAAACAAGGAAGGTCATTGCAGGTTGGAACTGAGTGAAAGTACAAGTCCATGTGTCTGTATTAGTCTGTGAATGGGATGTTACGCCATTTGGCTAAAGACACTAATTATATGGGATTTAGGTAAAAGTCTATTACAATAAGGGATCCTGAACAACTAAGTTTATTTGTTACTGCTGTTGATGAGGTTCCAGAACGTTCTTTGAAATTAACCTAAAAGCTAAGCATACTCTGACCCCTGCCTCTAAATACTATTTGAGCCTTGTTCTTTTCCTAACGATAGGATAGAGGAAACAAGCTACCTCTTGTTTCAAACAAGTTGCCTCTTCAACATTTATTCCAATTGTCCCTTAAATCATCTCACCCATCCCTAAACTCGAATATTCCATCTTATTTAGGGGGATGATATACAAAAGCTTAATACTGACTGCCTTAGTGCCGGGGAGGAGTTTGGGGGTGGGAAGGAGCCTTTCCCTTTTGGTAATGTTTGAAGTTTTAATCATGTGTGTGTGTTTTTCAATGTTTAATAAAAACTAATTTGAACTCACTAACCATCCACTAAAACCAAAGCCCACTACCCCCCAGAATATCCAAACTCTGATCCATGCATGTTACATCAGGTTTTCCCCTTTACAGTGTTTTTCAAGTATGTTGTCCCAAGAACCACCTGCAATAAAATCACCTGGGATGCCTTTTTCTGCAAAGTGGATCCCTGGGCCCGACTCCCAAAGATTCTGTTTCCGTCCGAGAGAAACCAGGACTCTACTTTCTTGTTTCCCTGATTCTTAAGTACAGGAAAGTGTGTCAGTTACATCGTTTCCCTTTTTCACCGGTTCATGAGTTAAGCTTTAGCTGTTTGAGCTTTATCTAACCGAGGTTAACACTTCCAGCAACAAAGAGCCTTGGGGAAAAATTCCATGAACTGAGAGATTTGGGCTGCTCTGTGGACAGTGCAGACAGACAGACTTCTGCCATTTTTCTTCAATATTCTAAAACTATTAGATCTGAGGGAAGTGGGTTGTTTCAAGCCTAAACCTGTAGCTAGGCCCCAAAGAGAAATGATCTTGCTTTCATGTATATGACAAAGGGCCTGGGGAAGGGAAAGTTTCTAAGGATTCATGGGAGGACCTAGAGGATCCTGTATGTTAATTTAACAAAATAGCAACTTCTTTAGCTTTTAATGGCCAAGCAAATACCCAAAGTTTAGGTCAAAATGACAGACAAAGGAGATTTGTCGAGATGGGAAGGGAAAGAAGAAAGGGTACCAGTGGAGGAAGAAGAATCACTGAGAGAGACAAATACTACATGATGTTACTTATATGTGGAATCTTAAAAAATGATGCAAATGAACTTATTTGCAAAACATAAACAGACTCACAGACACAGAAAACAAATTTATGGTTTACCAAAGGGGAAGGGCTAAATTAGGAGTTTGGGATTCACAGATACACACTACTATATATAAAACAGATACACAACAAAGACCTAATGTATAGCACAGGGAACTATATTCAATATCTTGCAATAATGGAAAAGAATCTGAAAAAATATATACCTATATATGTATAGCTGCGTCACTCTCCTGTGCCCCTGAGACTAACACAACACTGTAAATCAGCTGCACTTCAATTAAAAAAAGAAAAAAAATCACGGACTCTTATGATTGTTTAATAGAACAGAATAAAAGAATAATTGTACCAGCGATAAGTCTATTATGCCATTTATTGATGATGGAGTCACACTGGGAAACAATCACAACAAAAGAACCATCTTGAATAGAATGGTTTTCCAAGTGAAACATTCCTTTGAAACATAACATGTAAGAGACTCAAATATGTCATCAGGGAAGCCCTTGGTTTATATGTAGACATCTCAGCTGCGACTGTCCCAAGTTCCACTCCACAGCACATTCAGGAATTTGTGTGTGTGTGTGTGTGTGTGTGTGTGTGTGTGTGTGTGTGTGTGTAATACCTGTATCTCGGAATGAGGAACCATATTTTTGCCAGGCTTCTTGGAATAGACGTGCTCACGTTGAGATGCAGGAAAGAAAAGAGTTATTTTTGGTCAATGGGTGAGCACTTATCCTTAGCTATCAACGAACGTGATTTTAACAGTTTAGCTTCTGAATATAGAATGGTCTGTTCAGTACCATGTCTTTTCGGTAACATTTCTTTCTGGTCCTTGGTGGTGCCTTAATTTCTTCCCTCTGATTTTCAGGAAAAGACAGAGGTAAAGGTGAAACTGGCGTAGGAGACTTTGGTGGCAGACATCTGGTTGAGACCATTTTAACCAGCACCCCAGTTGTCTCGGCAGAAGCAGGCTTGGCTGAGAGTTCTCGGCATGGGTTTAAAATGGAGACCTTGGGGTTCTTAAAGTCGTCGTAAGCTGCAGTCACCTGTTTTGTGGTGGGTGAGGTTTTCAGAGCTGGTCTAGAATTCCACTTGTATTTCCCAGCACAGCTGCAATTCCACTTGAGAGCATTGTATTCAAGCTTGCAAGAACCAGAATTGGTTTTCCTTTCCTCATGACTTTTCTCTACACAAGTTGTCTGAAGGCCCACATGTTGGAAGGTTTGGACTGTCTCATTCTGGGTACAGCTTTGGAGGAAGAGGGTCGTTCGGTGGCTAAGGGAGCACAGAAGGAAGTCTGCAGTCTCGGCCGTTCTCTTTGAATAGTCATGCGCTGCAATCTCTCTAAGTCCAGTAAACGAGCTACCAAATGCTCCAGAGAGCTGTCTAGAGGCTCCACTGTCATTTTCCAATTTTCAGATTTTGAGATGGCTAATTTGTGCCACTCCAGGGTATTGAAAGGAGGGGGAAGAAAATCAGGATATGGAAATATTTCACTTGGTTCTTCTGTGAAAGAGTCTTCAACATTTTCTATTGTTTCTGGCTTTAGGTTCAGGTCCATCTTTTTAAAATAGCTGAGTAAAGTATCGTTTGCTTTTTCATTTTCTGATAAATCACTTTCATCTGTTAAATTTTCTTCCACACCTGCTGTCTCCATACTTCAGATTCCAATTTGGTGCAGTTAAAAGTTCCCACTGTTGTTTCCTAGAGTTGAGCATAAATTAATATGAAGCTCATTTCTGTCCTTAAAAAAGTCTCCATCAGCATAAGGCCAGCAGTGCCTTAATGGCGCCTGCAGGGCAGGGTAGGAGCCAGCTGGCTTGTCCACTGAAGCACTCGTTAGTGAGTGGTTCACAGCGAAGAGCCTTATGCGATTACTGGTCACGTTACAGCCAGTTTCCACTGAAGATTTTTTGAAATCCCTTAAAAAAAGGTTTATTTAATGAATGGCTGGTTGCCTAGAATTAAAATGCTATTAAAATGCTAATGAATAAGAAACCTTATCGAAGACTAGCTAATGTTTGGTTCCCAATGGCATATGTGTATCTATCTGTAACAGAAACATGTTAATTTTCAAATGTGCTCTAGTTATATACAGCTATATACATTTTTTAAAGTACAGATTAAAACAGTAACTGGGCATCCCTTTGTACATGCACAGGTGACTAGATCATTATACCTACAAATGGCTAACTGGCTATGAATGGCCACTAGGCTGAAAGTGTCTAATTATAGCTATTTGCCTATGATATATTGTACGTTCAACTATGATGCCTGAAAAGGAGGCTATCCAATTCAAATTGAAATTACAGTGAAATGTTTATTTACCCAGAATTAGATAAAAGGAAACACAAGGAACGTAGTTAGGTTACTTAAGAAGGGCTTCTACTGTAGCCACTGTGGCTTTTTAAAAATTATTCTAACAAAAAAGGAAGCAAAACAATGTCTATCAAACAAAAATTACCCCAGATATAGTCTATTGTAATTTTCATCTGATTGTGCTCTTTTATTTTAGGACTAATACTTCTAGGTATTATATTCAAATGAAAACTGCAGAAAAGCCAGGCCACAGAATACTGAGTTTACAGTTAGTATTTGTTTAAAGCTTACTAGAAATACTGCCATGGAAAGATCTGATGCGTTAATTGACATATTTATAGCCCCATTATCTTCCTGCTGCTTTTAAAGCCAATTTACACTAAAGACAACAAAGCAGTCTTGAAGGATTTTGAAAAGTACAGAAAATAATAAAAATTTATTTTTTTAGCTAATAAATACTACAGCTTTACTGACTTGCCTCTGAAAAACCACAGGAAAATCACCTTAAATCTATAATTGATAACAGACACAATCCATGTAGTACCGTTAAAAAAAAAAAAAAGCAAAAAAACACAAAAAAACAAAAACAAACAAACAAAAAAGCATGGAATCTGGATGTGGAAGACCTAAGCTTGAACCCCTTTGCCACCAAGAGCAAAATGGAAATTATAATACCCACCCTGGAGGTGGTCTAAGAAGCAGACAATTATATGAATGTACTTTGCAAATTGTTAAACACTAAATGAAAGCTATGGTGACTTTTATTCTCTTTCCTTGTTGACAGCATATTGAGGAGAAACATCTCAGTAGTAAAATGTCTCACGGACCCCAATCTTCCAACTCTGCACCATCACCAGGCCTCCCCAGTATCAATCACGAACACCCACCAAATGCGTGATTCTGTTTAGTCCTCACAACAGCCCCATGAGGTCGGCAGTTTCATTCTCTACCTTTGACAGATGAGGGAACTGAGGCCCAGACTGGCTGAGGTCACACAACCCGTAAGTGGTGGAGCTGGGATTAAACCCCGGCATTGGGTCCCACGTTCACGTCTCCAACCACTGCGCTCTGCCGACTCATTTACGTCCTCTCACGTCACTTGACCTCTTCCTTTGAGTTCCTTCTCTTAAAGCAGGCTTCCTCCCCCCATCACCACCCGCATCCCCAGGACACGAGTCACTACAATCCCCTTCACGCCTCTTGGTTCTCCCCTCAATGTTAGCGCTAGGTGAGCTGTGTCCCGAGCCGCACAGGGGAGAATCCTCAGCCGAAGAGACAGCGGCTGTCAAGGGAACCACACAGCTGTTAAAACTGTGTTGACAAAAGAGAGGAACGCAACTCAGCATCCCCATTAAATAATACACTATGTAAAAGCAACACCCAGCGTGCTCGATACATGTTAATTTCGGCGGTGCTCGATACACGTTAATTTCCCAATAACAGTAACCTGCGTTTTGAAGGCGGCTTCTAGCTGGTTCTCACGCACACCAAAGTTTAAGAAGCAAAAAGTAAGAATTCAAATCCCAGGAAGGGACTGAAGCAGGGAAGGGGGTGTGAGAGCGTGAACCAAGCCTTCACATTCTGGTTCAACCATCTGGTACCTGTCACCTGCTTCCATGTCCTCACCCGTAAAACAGGGACAATGACAACAGTACTCTCCTTGCAGGTCTCTCCTGAGGGTTAAATGAGTTAATACGCGTAGGGGATGACAATCATTCCTGGCACGTGAATTATTACTTTCCTATCATGGTTCCTTTTCACTCGAATGGGAAGTCCAAACTCTGTCCATCTAGACCCTCCTGGTAAAGGCCCAGTCACCTCTTCACTACACACTGTGCTGTCTGCCAGCCACGTCCTATTTTAGGGCGCGTCGCTATAATTTCCCACCACTTGCACACAATACATTTTTCTTCTGGTTGTTGTTTTGGCCTCGTACTTCAGCTGAGCAGTTATAACTCATCTGTATTTAGATTATTTCAGTAATTTAGGGGTTTCAAACATAAATATTCTCTCACCTGTTCTCCGTGGCACTTCCTTTGTTGAGAGGATAACTCCATAACTGGAATATCCCTCGTTTACTATTCTAAGAACAGGAAAACCATGGACAACATTTTAGTCAGTAACTGCATGCCTTTTTAAAAAATATAATACTTTCAGAGTGTGATGAATAAAACCCCACCTGTGTTCTTTTGGGAGCATGCTCTGACAAAGTAAGTTCCAGCATGAGTTGCTCTACTGGAATTTCCAAATGGTTCTATAAAGCAGCAGAAGACTCTTAAACACATGACATCTCTGTTCCCGACTCTTGTTCTAAGAATGTATAGTTCTTGTTCTAACCAAGCAATATATAGTAAAGTCCTATAATACTCCCTCATATCCATATAAATGGTTTTTACTGATCTCAGTAGGAATTAGTATGTTTATAAACATCAACTAAACAGTGTTAACTAATAAGCTTTGACTATCATTGAGATTGTCTTTATTAAGTTAACTGTTTTATTTTTGATCAAAATAAGTAAATGAAAGATTGTTTTCACTATTTCAAAACAAAGTATAACCATTTCAGCTGCTTTAAGATATCTTAAGGGCTGAGACCACTTCCCTTTTGGCAGTAACTGGAAAGCATTATCTTCGCTACAATGTTAATTTCCATTTATAACACTGTTATGTTGAAAAAAAGTAATATAGTAAGATATTTAATGACCAATTTGCAGCCTTGTAAAATAGTAAATAAAGGCTTTGACTTGTTTGAAGGACTCTATAGAAATAAAATTTAAAAGTTTAACTTTGAGGAAAGAAATTTTCTTTAAGGAGCACACATTGTAATGTTAAAATAATGTTTTGTGAATTACTTAAAACCAAATATCTATCCTTACCTTGTTAATTTTGTCTGAAAGAATGTGTATGAAAAAAAAGACAATTCATAGGTACACAAAACTGGTGATATTCAAAACAAGCCCCCTTTAATATGAGTGGTTGTTCATATTAATAAATTAGAATATAAATTCTCATATATTTATAAGTATAAATAGACACATTGAGGATTTCTTACCACCTGTGGCACCATCCCTTCCAGGTGGGAGGTTTTTATTTTCAGAAACGGGTAATTCTGTATCCAAATTCCAGTGAGATAAGTTCTAAAACAATATTTGTTTTAGGATAAACTTAATGTAAGAAAATTTTAAAAGCTCAAATACATAATTTTACAAGTCCCTTGGTTAAAATATAACAAAAGGCACAAAGTTCCATGACTGGCCCCCTCCCTCCTATAAAGGACACTCAGCATTTGTGAGGAGTGGGCAATGTTCTCATCAAACTATCATCAGCTGGATAACACCTCTTTGGAAATGAAAGGCTTTTATAAGAATTTATGATTTCATTCACATTTTGTTAAAATAATGGCACACAAGTTTTCAAAACTTGTGATTTAAAAAATATGATAAAATGTCCAGTTCACAATGGCACAGTCACCAGATTTTATATATCTGAGTACCAGATCTGAAAGAGTATAAAAATCTTTCCATCAACCAAACAAAATTCTCACATACTCAACACTGACCAGCCCACCTCTCATTCTAGACTCCAGATGCTGAGAAACACTTAGGAAATATTTTTTAAGGCAAAAAATGAATAAGAATAGGTACAATATCTATTGAGGATTTATGTTCCAGATACTGTGCTGAGTCGTATGTGGGAAAAGCGTGGGGTGTGTGCAGGAGAGGGATGTGATCATTTATCCTGGAAAAGGAAAGTGAAGAGGTGAGCAGTTAATTTTAAAAAGTGATATTTGAGGGATGAACTCAGTTTTTTTTTTCTTTAATCTCAAATGAGAAAATCCTTTGCAAACCAAACTCCAAGCAGGTAGTACTAGGTATTATCTCTGCACTAAGGAGAAACAGGGACAAATAAGCTTAAGTACAGGATGAGGATTTAACTGATCCACAGGGAAGTTATCTCTCGACAGGAAGGAGAGTTGAACATTGGAATGTGGGCTGCAGATTATCTTTCTCTGGAGGTTTTCATGAAAAATAAAATTAATAAAATTCTCTGCTCTCTGAGATAACATGCATTGGATCTAGTCTCTGCATGAGAATCACCAAGGGAGCTCTTTTAAAAATAATAGTTGAAGAAAATGGCACAGATTCTGATTCAGTAAGATGAGGCCAGATATTTGTTTGTTTTTGTTTTTGTTTTTTTTTGCCGTACGCGGGCCTCTCACTGTTGTGGCCTCTCCCGTTGCTGAGCACAGGCTCCGGACGCGCAGACCCAGCGGCCATGGCTCACGGGCCCAGCCGCTCCGCGGCATGTGGGATCTTCCCGGACCGGGGCACGAACCCGTGTCCCCTGCATCGGCAGGCGGACTCTCAACCACTGTGCCACCAGGGAAGCCCCAGATATTTGCATTTTTAAAACCTCCTGACAGATTCTCAAGCTTCTCTCAGCTCTGTAATCCTGGTTCCCTAAGGTACAAAATAACCTGTGAGAGAAATAGCCTTACCTTAACATGATAAAGGGAAGGTGATGAAAACCATGCTTGTTGAGGTCATAGAATAAAAGTAACCAAATTCGTCAGCCAGTAAGGAAGGCTGTCAGTAGCCCATGAAGTCAGCCAGACTGCAAACTGCCTACAGGGTGGGCATTGGTTCTATTATTTGATATCCACCTGCCTTACCAATATTTTTCACAAAACACGTGTGAGAAAATTTAAAAGGTGAGCACTGCCCGACGGTTCAAGGTGGCATGTTTCACCAAGTCCAACTGCAATTACAAATGCTTGGAGGACTTCCCTGGTGGTGCAGTGGTTAAGAATCCACCTGCCAATGCAGGGGACACGGGTTCGAGCCCTGGGCCGGGAGGATCCCACATGCCACGGAGCAACTAAGCCCATGTGCCACAACTACTGAACCCGTATGCCACAACCACTGAGCCTGTGTGCCACAACTACTAAAGCCTGAGCGCCTAGAGCCCGTGCTCCGCAACAAGAGAAGCCACCACAATGAGAAGCCCGTGCACCGCAACGAACAGCAGCCCCCGCTCGCCATAACTAGAGAAAGCCCGCGCGCAGCAACGAAGACCCAACGCAGCCAAAAATAAATAAATAAATAAATAAATAAATAATTTAAAAAAAGAGAAATGTTTGGAGATGTACAAAGAAGCTGGTTAGCTCTTCCTTTGTTATAAGACATAAAAATTTTCAGGGAACTCTACTCAACACTCAGTAATATAAATGGGAAAAGAATTTGAAAAATAGATGTTTATGTATAACTGAATCACTTTGCTGAAACTAACCTGAAACGAACACATTGTTAACCAACTATACTCCAATATAGGATAAAAATTTAAAATAAAAAAAAAAAGAAAAATTTCCATTCCGTATCCCCTCACGCTGTTTCCCGGGCAGCTGCCGTACCTCTCGGGAGACGGACACGCGCAGACTGGGGCCGCTGTCCTCACCGTCCCGTTTCTCTGTTTCCTCACAATCCTGCACAGGTGTGGGACAGGCACGCTGAGGGTACGGCACGAGGCTGATTTCAAAGAGCGCGTGAACTTGGGCTCCGCATCCAAAGGAGCTCAGGAGAAAGCTTAGAACGCGGGAGAGAGGGCCTGTGGGGTGAGGCGGGGTAGCAACGGGAAATTAACTGGAAGCCAGAGGCAATCAGACAAAAACGGGGGGCACAGAAAAAGCAAGGTGGAAGGTCTAAATGACAGAAGAGTAGGAAGTGAAGGTCTGAAGTGAGAAAGGTGATATTTTCAGGACGATAAAACACAAATTAGAAAAAGTATGGTGAATTATCTGGAATTAAAACACAGGGTCATGAACTCTGCTTTTAATGATTTAAGCCAGGTGCTGCGTTTGAAAGCAGGATTAACCTTACTCACGGGCACAGCCGACACTCCCACATGCCTCAGAGGTACCAAAAGGCCCGCTCCAGTTTAAGGCATAAGTCTCCGAGAACTACAGTGTCATAAAACAAGTGAAGCAATCTTTAAGGCGTTGCTTAAACGGATTAAGGCATTGCTTAGGGCATGGGTATCTGCAAAAAACCACAAACTGAAGCCACTGCAGTACTCAGTGTCTTTCCTAGTCGTTTACAACTGTTCGTCCCCTAGAGGAAGGGTGGGTCCTGAAGACGCAGAGAACACAGCTCACGGATGCTCTGCATCAGTAAGAACCGATCCACCTGCGACGCGCCCCGGCGGAAGGACCGGGAGGGAGGCGCGCGCGGGCGCTGGGGATGCGGCGCCGCGGGGTGTGCGGGGTGTGTGCGCGGCCCGGCCTCTGTGACGGGGACCCGGGGCGGGGCCGGGGGGGTGGGCGTCCGGCAGGTGCGGGCCGG